CGGATTGTTACTGGCGATGAAAAATGGATTTATTTTAAGAATCCTAAACGGAAAAAATTATGGGTTAATCCGGGACAACCATCAACATCGACTGCAAAACCAGATCGATTCGGCAAGAAGACAATGCTGTGTGTTTGGTGGGACCAGAAAGGTGTAGTGTTCCACGAGCTCCTAAAACCTGGTGAAACCGTCAATACTGATCGCTACCGACAACAAATGATCAATTTGAACCATGCATTGATCGAGAAACGACCAGAATGGGCCAGAAGACACGGCAAGGTAATTTTGCTCCATGACAATGCACCTGCACACAAAGCAAAACCGGTTCAGGATACAATCAAAACACTTGGCTGGGAGCTGCTACCCCACCCGCCGTATTCACCAGACTTGGCTCCTTCCGACTACCATTTGTTTTCATCGATGGGACACGCATTGGCTGAGCAGCACTTTGATTCCTACAAGGAGGTCGAAAATTGGGTGTCTGGTTGGTTTGCTTTAAAAAACGAACAATTTTATTGGCGTGGTATCCACAAATTGCCAGAAAGGTGATCAAAATGTGTAGAAAACAATGGCCAATACTTTGAATAAAATGTTTTATATTTTCCCATTAATAATTAGTGTTTTATTTTCACAAAAAACGCTCATTTCATACCGGTATACCTGGTATACTGTTGATTACAGTTAAAATAACTTACATAGATGCGTGACTTTCAACACGCATCTACGTGATTTCTAACACGTACAATTCACTAACATAATAATAGAACATGCCCTCTTGGTGAATTAACTCATAAGTCTAATCTTTGTGGGGGCTTTACTGTACGTCCGGAGCGTGTTACTTGCAGCACGTTGAGTTCTTGAGAATCATTTTGAACTTGAGCGACATCATCATTATAACTTCCTTTAACGTTATCAGTTTTATTGTTTAGTCTATAAAAAACATCGTTGACTGATTCATTTGAACTCCATACGTCTGTACGGCGACGCAGGTGTGAAATGTGACGCGGATATACCCGATTCGCAGTTTCCATGTCAAACGACAAAGTATTTTGCTTTCGTACTACGCCTGGTATCCACGGCTGGTCACATTTTGTTTCTTGAGTTGGTTTTACCCAAACATTGTCACCCACTTTGAATTTCTTGCTTACGCCTTTCTCGTCTACTTTCCTCCGAGTATCGACGCCTGGGATGAAACATGTCGATCTTTTCGTGAATTGCTTGGATGGACTTTCAGTACAATTGGATGATATTGTCTCGTTGTACAGCAAGACTGCCAGAGCGATTGAACAATGTGAGCGAGCGACCGTTCTTTTTATCGTTCTGTGTATACGATCAACTATACCATTACCTTGAGCTCGATGTGCTGCTCGATATTCCAAATTAACATGCCATTCTTCAGCAAAACTTGTTAACGTGTTGGACCGAAATTCGTTGTCCATTAGAAGACATACTGGCGGACCAAATAAAGAGAATATTTCTTCGAGTCTACTAACAACTTCAGCAGCTGCTTTAGTTGCAAGTTTACGCCATATTGTATACCGTGATGGACCACAGTCAATCATTGATAAGTACAGTTCAGCACCTACATGCGTCACGTCAATGGCAACCCGATTCCAATTTTTTTCTACGCTTAGTTGGCCATTCTTCCACTTTACGGAGTAAGGATCAATGGAGTTACACTGGTTACAATTTGCAATTACTGCTGAAACCTCCTTACGTGATACATTCTGATTATTTTGCAAGCAAAGTTGTAATGTTCGAGCAACACCAAAATGACCAATTGAATGAATTTTCCATATGTCTTTTTGTTCAAGTAATCCAGCTGCACACACTGTTCTGCACCATTTTTGAGGGATTCGTGAGAGTCGATCAGCCAAATTTATCTCAGATGGAATCCATTGTACTGCGATCTGAATATCTTTTGCCACTTCCTTAATAGTATTCAATCGTCTTTGTACTAACAATTGAGAAATTCCCCGAGTTTTTACGCAATATTCTTCCTTTAAAACTGCGTTTAACCATCCTACGGTGCTCTTGCTATCACTGTATACTGTTAACTCTTTTATGCCCCACTTACTAGCTAAGTTTAGTCCTCGAAGTATAGAATCCAGTTCAGTTATATTGATATGGTGTGTGTCACTCGCTGGCCGTAGCCATGCTGCGTCTTCAACAACTACTCCACCAATGAGCAGAACTACCCCAAGTCCTATAGATGATGCATCACAATAAAGCTCAGCTTTTCCATTAACTGGTACCAGCCATTTTCCACCAACCGGATCCTCTTTTTCCACACGGTAAAGCAACTCTTTCAGTTTTTCTTTACAATCTTCAGAAATAAAATCACACCAAGGTATATTTCCAGCTAAATGTTTGATGTATGAAGCTTGTAAACGCAAACTTCCTGCCACTGGGTAATGTCCAATAAGTTTGCCTAACTGGCTGAAAAGCTGTGATCGTGTGACTGCATTTAAAGATTGGAATTGTACCACATTGGCTCGTTTCCATATCAGTTCCCCATTTTTATTTCTTTCGACTCTCAATCCTAAGACACGTCCTTGTTCAAGATCTTGTGGAGGTTTACATTGTAATCCGAATTTAAGCAGATGCTTCGCTACATTTTTCGCAGTTTCCACACTTTCATCCACAAATATATCATCAATGTAGTTATCACATGCTTTCTTTACGGTTGGATTTAAATTGAGCACATGCCCGAGAATTGTGGTCATTATTGTTGGAGCCACATTGATGCCAAAACACATCCTGGTAAAACAATACCGTTGCCCATTTATAATCACCGTTTGATATGGCCAAAGTTTTTTATCAATATGAATTTGGAGGTAGGCTTTTTTAAGATCGAGAATTTTTGCATTTTTTATTTTTCTCCAGCAACGCAGTTTTTCTTGACAAACGT